CCCAGCTGAGTCAGAGTTCTCTGTTTTTATCATGACCACGAGAAGGTGTTTCCAAGGGGCTCCAGGAGTGGCCCGGAGTGACCTGGGCGAGGACAGACTCCTGCTGACCTGCGCAGAGCCCTCATGTGCATCAGACCGAGGTGCTCCTCCAGGTAGGTGCATGGGGCTGGGACTTCTGGCAAAAATAAAAGCCCCTTTTCCTCCAGGCTGCCACAGCCCCCACGCTAGGGAGCAGGGCTTGCCTGGGGGGCTTGAGATGGCTGTCACCCCCACACGGCCTTTGTGCTGGCTACATCCTGTGCAAGCCCCAGGCTGAGGTGGGCACGTGGAGAGGGAAGGGCCTGCAGGAGGCAGTCCTCACGCAGAGGCTGGCGATCAGCCTGCGCCCAGGGTCTGACCCCCGTCCCCGCAGGCGAGGACCTTGCTTCCTCCGCCATGGAGCACCCTGCAGGCATCCGGGACACGACATGGGTGGGCAGAGAGGGGCCGACTGTGCCAGCTCAGGACCCCCGAGCCAGGCAGGCACTGCAAGTTTCCCTGTCCCCCATATGGCCTGCCCTGGTCTGCTAGCACATCCTGAAATGCCATGGTTCATGGGCAGAGCCCCCTGCCCCACCCCCCGCCCCGGCAGGCTCTCTTGGGGAAGCAGGCAGAGCTGGTCTGGGGGCCACTCACCCACCTTGAGAACTCTCAGGGCTGGAATCCGGGGAGGACTGAGCCAGAAAGGCCTGGGCGGCAGGGAAGGGGAGAGAGAGTCTGGCCTCCTGGCTTTGTCACCCCTTCCCGCCTCTCTGCATCCCTCTCTGTCTCCGTAGGCCTGATGTGGGTGGCACAGCCTGGCCTGGGGACACACACAGCCCTGCCCAACTGTGTGGCAGGGTGGCAAAGGAGCGAGGTCACCAGCAGTTGCTGGGATGCCAACACCTGTTGTCCCATCTGTAATTCCTGGCACATCCCCCTCATTCCAACCGCCCCAGACCCCTGGGGCCGCCCAGCCTGTGGCAGGGCTCCCCAGAGATGCCCAGACCTGTGCCTCCCAGTACTGGTCGGCTCCAGTCACATGTGGCTTTTTACATTTAAACCAATTGCACTGAAATAAAATGAAAAATTCAGTTTCTTAGTCACACGAACCACATTTTAAATATTCAGTAGCCACACGTGTGACTGGCAGCTCCCGTATTGGACAGAGTACATTCTAGAACATCTCGTTATTGCAGAAATTTCTTTGAACACCGCTGGACCAGATGCCTGCCCTAACCTCTGGGACACCTGGGCGAAAAGTGCCATAAGCCCCCTCTGTGGGCGCTCACAGAAGGAGCCAGGGACCTGGGACACAGCCGAGGGGCCAGGAGCCTCCCAGAGGGTGATGTTGGAAGGGGTCTTTAGGACAAGCAGGGGGCTGGCAGCTGGAGAATGCACGGAAGGGCACAGCAGGCAGTGGGAACGGCGCATGCAAAGGCGCCAAGCCTGGGGAGCAGCAGCCCCATGCGGCTGGAGTGTGAGTTGAGCAGAGGCCAGACCACCTGGGGCCCTGAGGGTCTGGGCTTGGAGACCCGGGAAGCCGCAGGACAGGTTCAGCTGAAAGGGGCAGGACCCAATTTGCTGTTTCGGGAGCCACCGTGGCTGCCCAGGCTGCGGGGTTGGAGGTGATGAGGGTGGAGACTCAGTCTGCTGTGCCAGCGAGAGATGCTTCTGGTTATTCTTCCTG